ATAGAATTTAATTCAGAACTGTTTTGACACTATATTAAAGTCGCCTATTTCAAACCAACTTTATGTGTACATTTAAAATATGTTAATCCTAGATAATACTAGCCCAGAAACCCATGGTCTAGGGAAAACTTAAGGCCCAAATAGGGCTGTAAATATTTTGAGCCTTCCAAGATGGTTCATATAAATGTGATACTGCCCAAAGGCTGTTTCTGTCTATATAAGGCATCTAATGAGGTTCTGTTTAGTCTGCAAAGGATATTAAAGCATTGCTGAATGGTTTTGTCCCAGATGCACTATGAATAAGATGCCTGGTAACAATAGATCAAAGCCCCCTTGAGGCATCATAGGCATTTATTATGAAGCGCTCAAATGTGACGGTACACAAGTTAGCAACAAAATAGCAGTTATTTTATGAAAATTATGGGGGCGAGGGTGAGGTCCTCTTCAAGTGTGCCAATAAAATGCAATTAAACAGATTATATTGCTAAAAACAGTCTGCTTTGGGCTGATTTTGCATAATATATTCATTTAACTGGTGTCCACATAGCCAAATGTTTATAGGGGATAAATGTTCCATTCGGTTTCCCAGTCTGAGAGTTGGAGGTTGAGTTGCAGAAGTCATCAAAGGCAAGCCCTCTGTTTTAGGCGATGCTGAGAGAATGCAGTTAAGAGCCAAGTTCATTCTGCTTCTAAGTGTTACTATAGGTCCATGTAGGTCCCTGCAGAGAACTGAACCGAGTCATTCTCTGTACCATTTTCCTCTTTTTAATTCTTGAGATAAATGATTAATTCTATTAAACAAAAAAAATACAGATTCCGTAGATTCCCTACAATTTCCTCCAATTCTTAAAATGAGAGAAAAGAAAGACAAATGACCTTGACATTCCTAAAAAAGGATGGCTTTTATTTTTTTTATTATTTTGAGACACGGTCTCACTCTGTTGCCTGGGCTAGAGTGCTGTGGCATCAGCGTAGCTCACAGCAACCTCAAATTCCTGGGCACAAGTGATCCTCCTGCTTCAGTCTCCCGAGTAGCTGGGACTACAGGATTGTGCCACCACGCCCAGCTCATTTCTTCTATTTTTAGTAGAGTTGATCTCCCTCCTGCTCAGGCTGGTCTCAAACTGCTGTCCTCAAGCAATCCTCCTGCCTTGGCCTCCCAGAGTGCTAGGATTACAGGCATGAGCTACCGCACCCAGCCTGGGTTTTCATTTTCTTAAATTTTCAGACTCTGCTTTATCTCAAATTTAGTCTTTTTTTATTTGGTAAAGATTTCCTGTTTATAGCTGTCAGCTCTGAAAACAGTTGAGAATGCAACTATGGAGTTGAAAATAAAAACATTTTCTTAATCATTTAGCTTTTTAAGCATTATTATCAATGACCTCTTTCAAAACATTTCTGTAAACCTTCTAAGATGTGGTAGATAATGAAGGCCCATTGGGTTCAGGATAGGCTACATGTGGCATGTCTTTCTCATTTATTTCCCTGCCTCCCTAAATTAATAAATAAACAATGATTTACTTATTAATTTTAATGAATGAAGTTATTCTTACATCTGAATTTACCCTCTTGTGAGATCATATTTCTCACTGTATACCTAATTGAGAGCTAGTATATATACTAAATATCTTTTTTATATCACTACTATTGTCTAGTAGAGGTTCATCTATTCAAATCTATCTAATAGTTACATATCCCTGTATAGATAAATAATTTTGACAATGCTAAGGTGGTAAGATCTATTCCTTTCAGTAACTGTATTCGAATGATGATATTTACTGTGAAATTAAACCCTGTGGTCCTAACACTAGATGAGATAAGAAAAGATACAGTGATTTTTTTATGACTATTTTTCTATTGTAGAGATCATTCTGAGTAAGAATTCTCATTTGTACATATTTAAAGTAAATTATTGCTAATAGAGGATAAATTAGAAAACTCAAAAATTAAGTAAATTTGAAACAATTTTTAATAGCTTTGGTTTTATAATTATGTATTATGTTTTATTTGCAGGAACGTGTAATTGCATTAGAAACGGTAAGTTGGGGCATTTTCTTTCTCCTTGTATCAGAATTACTGCTGTCTTCTGATATGGATTTCAGAGCACACCAAAGGAATCAACTCCAGAAAGCATTTCTAAAACTACATCTAAGATTCAAAGGGGAAAATGACCTAACTATATCTAAAAGGTATGTTGATATAGAATTTTTAAAATGAAAAAAAATT